AACCTCATGGATGGTGGGGGCATCTTGCTCTTCTTCTAAGTTGGACACCACGTTGGTCTACACATCAACATTCCTAATAGATTGCTCCTCTTGAAATTCCTCCTTTGGTTACTTAGGTTTAGACCGTTGCTCCTCTAGTTGCCAAAGCTACCTTGGTTGGTTTAATCCCAAAATCTTCTTGGATTCGGAATGAGTTTGGGAAAAATAATGACTGAGGCTTGGAGGGAGACACAATGAGAGGAAAAAAGGTTTGTCTTGATTCTTGGGAGTGCTATGTTTCTGGAGAGAGATGGAGCAAAATGAGGGAACTCAGAATCTAAGCTCTGGTTCTGGTAAGTCAAGAAGGTTGGGTTAGGTTTTATGACGTGGCAGATATTATGACGTGGCCGATTGGGTTTTACTTTTTCAGGTTAAATTAGGTAGACTAGGTAATTCTCTTATCCACATAAGCAAAAAAGAGAAAGTAGGGTGCGGGGAATTGAAGATATTTTGTCGATCTATTAATTAAATAGAGCTCTTCTCCCCGTGTTCGGCCTCTCCGCCTTCCACCTTGGAGACTTCGACGGCTTAGAAACCACCGTCTGAATACTCCGCATATGATTTCATTCCATTAGAGGTGGTTTTAAAACAAGATCCTTCTTCCATTGGTGCTTGAGCATGCGTCATCGGTTCAAAATTTGAGCAGCAACAAATGACGAGAAGGTGCACACAGTGAGCTCTGTGATCTCCTATGTTTGTATGAGCTTCGCGCTTTTAGTGTTTTTCCAATTCTGATTTTCCATTTACTTTTGGGAGATCGGATTCCAAATATGGAAGGGATAACATTGATTTTCCTCTTCTTGTGAGTGGCGGCTAGGGAGGAATTGATGCCTTTGCCAGAATTAGCTGGGTAAGAATTCAAGAAAGTGGAATTGGTTAGCTTGGGCTTCTTGGCTCGACCCAATTGGTCATAGCAGCCATCATCTGCTTGAGAGTCGGCCATTTGATTGGAGCGACAGGCAGATCGGGAGAGAAGAGTAGAGTCGTGAACACGGGAAGGAGGAGCAGGTGAGGAACTGGAATTTTGATGCTTGGGTTTCTATAGCTATTGCTATTGGAGGACGCTCGTGCTAGTGATCACCAAGAAGAAGAGAGAGCAAGGAGGACGGTAGAAACAAGAGAAGGTTTGCGTTATTAAAACTGGTTTTTATTTATTTTTTATTTGGAAATATTTATTTAAAATTTTCTAATAATAATAATTTCCATGTCAGTTGACACGTGCATGCTAACTTTGTTTTTTGTTAACCTCTGACGAAAAACTTAACAAAAGAGATTATTTAATATATAAATAATCCTAAATTTAAGCAAAACCGAAAACGAAAACGTATTAGAAGTTGTCCACAGTGTATGTTGAGAGCTAGCATGTGTTGATTTGACACTAATTTAGTTTTGAAATCCTATAACATTAAGTAAGAATTTTTTTATTTTTTTATCATTATCTAAAATTTATTATACTCCAATTTCTTTTATATTACTAAGTTTTCACTCGTTAAATGCTCAATAATAATAAATAACACTCCCTTACTATAAGTAATGGGCTCAAGATAGGGTGCATAACCATGGGTTATGCACCCATCAATAACCAAATCTGGACCCTTCATTTAGAAAATCCAGATTTAAGGATGGAGAATTAAAGGCTATTTTTATTTTCACTAGCTTTCTTAATTGACTCATATCTTTTTCGTTTTAACTCGGTTTTTAATTTTTTTTGCACAGATGGAACGAGTTCACCGTGCTCTACAAAATGAGATCAATTTTCAATATTTTTTAGGAAAAAAAATTCTGGCCTCTCGGTACCAACTGCATACCATATGGTATCTTCTTCGTTTTTAATTCGTTTTTGAAAACGTTTGCACAGCAGGGATGAGTTCATCATGATCTACTGGATCTACAAATTTCTGGGTGAAAAAATTACAGGACAAAAAAATACCACACAATACCATACAATACCACCCCGGTACGGGGTGGTATTGTACGGTATCTTCTTCGTTTTTAATTCGTTTTTGAAAACATTTGCACAGAAGGGACGAGTTCATCATGATCTATTGGATCTACAAATTTCTGGGTGAACAAATTATAGGACCAAAAAATACTACACAATACCATACAATACCACCCTGGTACGGGGTGGTATTGTGTGGTATACAATGTTAAAAGTCGTAAATTACAATTAATATACTTCTACTATCATGTATTCAACCATCCTACAGTATTGGTTTGTTCATACCACCATCGTACGTTTTTCAAAACATAGGTATGTTTTTATTTCAATACCAGTCAATACCATATGGTATAGGCTGGTAAAAAATGGTTCAATTTTTTTTGTTCGAAAAATATATTAAAGTGGATATCATTTTGAAGAGCACAATTAATCTGATTTATCTCTGCAAAAAAATTTCAAATCCGACTTAAAACGAGAGTGAAATTAGATGTTAAAAATTAAAGGAAAATTTTAGAGGCCTTCCATAATTGGCAGGGACGTTGATGTGGTGGCTGATGATAGGGTTATGCACGGTTACTCACCACAAAGTTACTCGCTAGATCCGGACCCATTACTTAGGGAATGGATCAGGTCAGTAACCTTATGGTGAGTAACCATGAGTAACCAGTCCACATCAGCATGACATCAGCATCCTCTCTCTTATGGAAAGCCTTTAATTTTTCCCTCTTTAATCTTTGACGGACGATTTCTCGCTCATTTTAAGTTGAAATTTAATTTTTTTTTGCACAGTTAGATCAGATTAATTGTGCTCTTCAAAATGATATCCACTTTAATATATTTTTGGAACAAAAAAAATTGAGACATTTATTACCAGTCTATACCATATGGTATTGAACTATTGATTGGTATTAAATAAGAACATACCATATGGTATGAAAGCGTGGTGGTATGGACATATCAGACTGTAGGATGGTTGAATACATGATAGTCGGAATATAATAACTTTAATTTACGGCTTTTAACATTCTGTACCACAAGATACCACCCCTATACCAGGGTGGTATGGGGTGGTATTTTTTGGTCCTGTATTTGTTCCCCCAGACATTTGTAGATCCGATAAATCATGATGAACTCTTTCCTTGTGTCGTATTGTGCAACTAAATCTTTTGCTGCATATTTTTACCAAGTCAAACATTTTTGTTCTCCGGGTCTAATTTTTTATGGCCTTTTGCTGAATCTTCATTAACGATTCACATTGTCAGTCAGGTACCTTAATTAGAACTCACTTTTGTTCTTTCTCGTTCCCGAAATTTGCTTTGCATTTGCTACTTGCTTGATGGTCTAAAGGCGTACTCTTTTGCCGGTTCTTCCTTCTTCTTTTTTATTCTAAAATGTTGTTTAGTTTTTCAACATTTGTGTTTGGCACCTTTTTCTCGAATATTGCATATCATTTTTTAAAACACCAATTGTGCATCAAAATATTTCACTCCAAGTTGGTCTAAAACCTAAGTATTGACCTTAGAGGCAATAGTAATTTTACTATTCATGCTTTAGTTTTATAATCCACCAATGTTACGGGAATCGCTTTTGCTTTCTTTTCCTCTGGTTATATATTCTTAATTAAGCTTGCTATTAGTTAGTTTCCTTATTTTAATTAACGAAATTTTATTTAAAAAAAATTCTCGTCGCGAAGCACGGGTCACTTAGCTAGTAGTTGATTTACATGTGCAACCAACCCAGATTCTAGCTATTGTGTCATATTGTCCAACTAAATTCGAGAAAAGGGTCTCAGATTCAAATCCCTTAAGTAGTACTTAATAAAAAACAAAATAGCTTATATCACCCTTATAAAAAAAACTAAATACGAGAAAAGGCTAAAATCGGGTCTTGAATATGTTCAATCCAACAAAGACAAGAGAACTGGTCGGGTGTTCTGTTGTGGTTATCACACAAATTTCCATTGTGGATAACCTGAAATTGTGAATCCACCATTTAAAGGTTTCCCAAGACGTAGTGTGCTCGTGAAATGAGAACCCAAACCAAACAATTACCAACAAAGATAAATCACACATTTTTTGGAGCAATCATCAAACCGGTTTATAATGTGTCATTCCTTTTTCTCTTTTGGTATTTTTTTTCTTCCTTTTTCCATTTTTTCTCTTTAATTTGCTGCAATTTTTTACCTCGTCAAACTTTGTCATTCTCTGGGTCTGATCTTCGATGACCTTCCGCTGAAATCTTCGTCTCTAATTCACATTTTCAGCCAGGTACCTTGATTAGAACCCACTTCTCTTCTTTTTCTTCCCCCATAATTTGCTATGTGTTTGATGGTCCAAGGGCTTACCCTTTTGCTTGTTCTTCCTTCTCATTTTTTTGTTCTAAAATGCTTTTTAATTTCTCGCCATTTGTGTTTGGCATCCTTTTTATAGAAATTTGCATATTCTGAGGATCATTTGGGTTCTGCTTGCTTAGTTATATTTAAATCCAGGATCATTTGGGGTCTGCTTGCTTAGTTATATTTAAATCCATAATGAATAGGGAATTTAATTATTGATTTTTCAAAATTAATTTAGAAAATGGTTCTGTGTTTGGTTTTTTTTATCACTGACACCAATAGGTCTCCTTGGTGATTGGATGGGAACAATTCTATTTCCAATAATTTCATTGGAATAGTGATGATGGTGGAACTTGTTACCGATTGAATTCAAAGAGATGTAGAGAGTTAGTGTTGTTGTTCATTCAATTTGGAATCAAGAGTGTTCAAAAATTAGACTCGTTTATCCTTATGATGCTTGTTTGTCTCATATTAAGGAGAAAATGGATAGTCTGGATTTTAATTAGTAAGAAGTGGTTTGCAGTCTAGCCATATTCTCAGTTGGGTTATTCTTGTGATATGTATGTTTCATCAAGCTGATCATATAGTACACTTACTATTTTAGTTATGTATTTTATGTCAGCCATTTTCTTTATGGACATTCCTCAATGGTGATCTTATATTAGTCTAATTTTTCCAGTGGACATGGCTGCAAAATCCTCCTCATTCGCTCCAACATGGAGGACTTTGAGGGGCTTCACATATGCTCTGAGATCAGCATCTTGTGAATGGCTTCTTATTTTCCTGTTGCTTCTAGATGCGGTGTTTGCATATCTCCTCACTAGATTTTCACGTTATTGTCAACTACAAGTACCATGCGTCTTTTGTTCACGGCTAGATCACATATTAGGCAATGAAAACCCTAGGTTTTACCGGGATCTCATTTGCACATCCCACAAGGCTGAAATGTCGTGCTTGATTTTCTGCCACAACCATGGTAAACTTGCTGATGGTTGTGCTATGTGTGACTATTGCCTATTGTCATTCTCAATGATGTTTAAAGAAAAATCAGAGATGCAAAGGATTGTGGTGGGTAAACTCGGGGTTGATCTTGGCTCCAATGGTACGCCTAACTTGTTCACAAACAAGGATCTCCTTCCTCGTTCCGTGGCTACCAAGTTATGTTCATGTTGCCATAAGCCTTGGAGGTCAAGGCAGAGAGCAGACAAAATCATCAGACTAAAATCACCTAGAAGTGTTGCCATCTCCAAGTCTAACATTCCTTTGCCTCACCGTTTGACACAACAAGAGAGCTTGAGGAAGATAAGAGAGAAGTTCTCTGGGTCTTTAACTCCTTGTCGACTCGGAAATATCGGATTTGATTCTTTATCTCATGTGGGTTACACAGAGCTCAAGTTCAATTCTGACTCTGAGTCTGAATTCCAGTACTCTGATGATGAGGAATATAATAATTATGGTCATCAAGGGGATGAGCCTCCCAAGGAAGGACAACAACCTACAACTCTTATTGCTTTTGATAAAGCTGCGGACAATGAGATGGATCAGCAATCATGGAAACAAGGAATGCAACCTTATGTTAAAGATCAAGGCAAGAGAGAAGCAATAAAAAGTGAAAACGGAAAAGGTCCTGCAATTTCAGAGCTAAATTTACATGAGGGTCTTCATCCATCAAACATGGAAGAGGTCCCTCCTGAGCTGAAACAAGCAAAAAATGAGCAAAACAATCCTTCTGTTCTTACTACTGATTCTTCTGTACTAAACGAACTCATGGCTCTGGTTGACTCTCCGTCAGCTTTCACTGTTTCAAAAGACCATTTCGAGACATCGAAAGTTAAGGGTAATCGTCTTGTCTCTTTTGCTTACTCTTTCTGCCGCCTGTTATTTTATGAGTGTATAAGAATTAACTTAGAAAACCCTGTAACAAGATCGTTTGCAGGTTTGGATGAGATTGGAACAACATGTGACTCTAACAATAAGCAAACCGACGATGTGAAGCCAATAGTTGATGCAACTACAATTGGTGGTCAAGTTGATTATGATGTGCCTTCTAAAGAGGTAACTTCTTTGGAAGATAATGAAACACCTAAGGCCAGGATTACTGTCAAGGAAAGGGAAGAACCTAAATTTGCAGTAGAAGACCTTGGGAAGAGAGAACCTTATGAGGATTTGAAGCCATCCTCCTCCAAAGAAACAAAGGCATCATCAAACAATAATGTACATGTCGTCCATGATAGTATGATGGCCCCAGAACCAGTTTTGAAAGACAAAGTTCATGGCTCCACTCTGGAGTCTCTTGATGGATTCATTAATGCGATAGAAGGTGAAAATATAGATGACAGGTTAAAAAGGCAAATAGAGCAGGACAAGATCCTCATAAGTACATTGACCAAGGAATTAGATGAAGAGAGAAGTGCATCCTCAATTGCTGCCAACCAGGCAATGGCGATGATCACGAGGTTGCAAGAGGAGAAAGCGGCTCTACACATGGAAGCCTTGCAGTATCTGCGAATGATGGAAGAGCAAGCCGAATATGATGGTGAGGAGCTCGAGAAAACGAATGATCTCCTGGCTGAAAGGGAGAAGGAACTGCAAGATTTAGAGGCAGAGTTAGAGTATTTCAGAATAAAATATGGAGATGAAGATATGGGGGAGAGCATGCCGAATACCAAGTCTAGTATGAGTAGGGATGATAACATGTTAGGAGAGGATAGCGTTAGCTCCAGCTATGCAGAACAAGAGGTTAATGAGCACCACTCTGTTTTAACCTCTAGAGAGCTTCTTAATGGAAGTGATAAAGGAGACATCCTCACAAAATCATCATGGCCAGACATTGAAGATGAGAAGTCATTCATTTTCCAACGGTTGAAGGGCTTAGAGAGGAAGTTGCAGAAGTTGTCTCACAGTGCTAATGTGTCACCTTACATGTCTGACAACGAGTATCCTGAAGAAACTACAGACAGAGGAGGAGAAGTAGGTACAGGGGAGTTTCTTGTAGGTAATGGAAGCCTCTATGTGCATGAAGAGCCCGATATCACATCAGACAGCAAAGACAAGACTGTTGTTGGCAACCTGGTTAGGAATGGACAAAGAACTTCCAACCCTCTCCATGAGAGTGATTTGGCAACTCTCAAGAATGAGATCAGTGACCTTAATGAAAGGTTGGAATCACTTGAAACTGATTGGAGTTTCCTTGAGCATACATTTAACTCCCTTGAGAGTGGGAAAGAAGGGTTGCAGTTTGTTCAAGAGATAGCACATCGACTTAAGGAATTGCGCAAGATTGGGATGCGGAGTAGATATCATTAAGTTGCTTGTTGATTGGCATTCATCATTCTTCATTGCAAGGTGAAACGGTGTTGAAAGCCAACTTGATTTTCCATAAAAGATTTTCATACTGTAGAATGTCATGAGCATCTATGAGAATTTTCTATAACGAAGGCCAAAGTGATGACATGAGATTCTCTTTTGCTGTCCTGTTAGTCATAAACAAATGAGAAGCTTGGTGTTTTTTGTTGGTAGAAGAAGCTTGATGTTTTATGTACAGGTATCAACTTACCCTTTTCTGTTTTGAGACAATATGTGGTGCAATGAGAGAGAAAATTGGGGTCGCTCCTTTCTTTTCTCTCCCTATAGAGGTCTTTAGTTCTGTTTCTGTTTTTTTGGTCCTCTAATTCAATTAGCTATGTAGGGTTTACTTTGTGAAATTACCAACTAAATGATTTTTGTTGGTGGGTTTCCAAGTTTAACGAATTCTTTTTTTTTTTTTTTTGTAAATAGATTCCAATTCTTGGCTAGATGCATGGAATCCGTTCATCAAATAGAAACACCATCGCAAATGATTAAATACATTACTACAATTGTTTTCAAGTAATACTCACTCGATGAAAGACACCAACTATGAGGTGGATCTATCTGATTCTTAATAATTCTAACGTGTGCTTTCTTGCTTCTCTTCACTTATGAGAGTCTTCCTAGTCATTACTTATAATCGATGGACAAAAAAAAGGAATAAGCACACTAGTGAAAATAAATCTGATATATTGAAATTAAGGCATTATATACTTCCGCATAAAGACCCCCTAAATTGAAGTCGACTGCCAATATGGTCGAGGTTGTGGTTCTCTTTGATGACAGAGCTATGAATTTGTATCGTCGATTCATCTAGTTAATTGTTTATACAAATTTCACCCAAAACAATTGATCTCAATAAGTCGAATGGTTGGGAGATGTTCAATTATAAATCTTATTTAAACATGTCTTGTACAATGAAAACCAACTGATAACCTTGAAATTTGGATATATACAAACACCATGTGCTTAACATCGGGGGCCATTGGGTTCAAAAATAACACCTCTTAGTCATCAAAAGCTCTGATACCATGTCAAAAATCAGGCACTCCCAATAACTCGAGTTGTTTAGGAGGTTCAGTTATACCATTTTATTGAAAATCATATGGTGGATACATAGATGATTAAGATTTCTCAATCTGATCAAGCTGCGAAATACATTGAGAAAGAGTTTCTTAAATATCTACAAGACATCATATCACAATTCAATCAAACTATAATACCACAATGGAATAGCATATCTATGATAAATTTTGACTACACAGTTTGATGAATGATGTGTTGGTGATAGTGCCATAAAAATATTTGATAGTGGATGGTCTTAATAAGGACACATTTTAGTTATCAATGTAATAAGTTTGTTTTGTAAAAATCATATAGTGTCATTTTGTATACTTAGATGTTGCCATGTTGGTGCTAGACCATATGCATTTTGAAGATAAGTGTAGTGCAAGGTTTTTTTTAATAATTGGATGCATTATAGATGGATGCATTCAAAACCAAATGGGATTCAGAGATCCCCGTAGAGTCATAGACAATCCAGTAACGGAGTAGAGGGTTAAAAACTAAAACATCATGGAAACCAAATATAAGGAGTGACCTCAACTAGCGGTGATAATCATCACACTTGTTCGCCTCGCGATAGATGTGGGAGACAGACACTTCCCAATCGTGCAAAAGCAGGGTATGGAATCTCCGAATAATAGATCCATGGTGGTGAATTGGTGATTCAACGCATCCTTGCTAGTGAGTAGTTGTAGTGAGCAGTTGGATTGCACACTGTGAATCGATCTCAAGACGAACCCGGCCAAACCCCCGTCCCAAGTTAGGTGAAGTCATTCAACAGCGCCTCTCGATTTTACCCTGGCGATAGAACAGATCCCCAAGTTCAAAGCGAACGTTGCAAGACAACATCCTGTGTGATCTTGTAACAGGCCTCCTGCAGCTGCAAGTCCTAAGTCATAAAGGAACAGAGCCATCTGAATTGAGAGTAACCCACTCTGGAGGCGGTGGCTGCCAAGAGATCTCGACCTCGATTCTTGTTGGAGGACAAGTCAAATGGGCTACCCTATTACTGCGCAGACCTACAAATCGAACATTAATAATCATATATTGAGATAAAGAAGCTGAATCTCATTAATAATTTTCGAACCATTAAGCCTCATATGTCACATCGTTTGACTTTCAGAAATGGTATGAACAAAACCTCCATTCTTTTAACTTTTCAAGATAGATATATCTCATATCAAGAATGAGTTGGTCTCAACTACTCGAGCTATTGGAAGAGATTTCAGTATTGATTTTATATGATTCTCTTACACACACCCTGAAACAGAAACCGACCCTTGAATTTGTAAAGTTTGCACAGACACGTACCTTGTGTTTAACTCAACCATTAATATTGGGATCTTAGCGATTCAAACACAAGACTACTTGACATTAAAAAAAGCACCGATCTTGTCAAAAACCAATCAATTTTAATAACTCGCTTTTTTTTGTCAGGTTTCATAATACATCTTATACCATTTCTTTGCATAATACTCTTTTTCAAAAGAAAAAAAAAACAGGTTTGTTAGGATCGATAGCAACATTAACATGAAAAGATATGAGATTTGTTGTGACACGACTTGCAATGGCTTCCATTTGATCCCCTGATAGATTGAATTTCTTAGATCCCTAAGTTTGGTTTTAGTAGGCGGATTGATACATCGTTAACCCCATTTAATATTTGATTTACCAATAAGATTACGAGGTGTAGCAGTTGTCGAGTGAGATACGCAAACTGCTGATTGAGACCTGGGAAAATCTCTGTACCCCACTCTCTTTGATTCACACCTCGGTCTTCTTATGCCAAGTAACTTTCGCTGGAGGCAGGCAGCTGGGCCTTACATCGACGATCCCAAGAGAAGCTAACAAAATAAGCCACTTTCATGTCAAAATGTCGCCGAAGAAGACAATTCTGCCGTCCTCTACGGCTCCTCCCACACCGTCGTTTCCAATACTGCACATACATAAGAATTCATTTCCAGATTCATATTATGTAAATCAGTCAGCCAATCAAACGAAATTCCGAGCATGATCCTGGAATCGTTTCACTGCTTGCCCAAAATTCCTATAAATCAATCGCCCATGTCAATTATTGAGACATCACCTCTTAGACACTGAAACCAAGCTACTCAGTACTGAAAACCCATAGCCACCACCATCATGTTATTCTCAGTGGAGCTCCTAGTCACCGGCTTTCTCGTCATACTGGCGCTGATTCTCTTCCTCTCCACTGCTTCCGACCGCCGTGGCTCAAAACGGTACCCAATAATCGGCCACGCACTGGAGCTGATAAGAAACAAGGACCGCCGAGTGGAGTGGACAACAGAGCTGCTCCAAGCCTCTCCGTCCGCAACGGTTGCCGTGCGACTCCTCGACCGGCAACGGATCCTCACGGCTGATCCCGCCGCCGTCCAGCACATCCTCAAGACCAAGTTCGACAACTACCCCAAGGGAGAAGACAGTCGAGCGATCCTCTTCGACATGCTCGGGGACGGCATCTTCAACGCCGACGGCGCGTCCTGGAAGCTGCAGAGGCAGGTCTCCAGCCACGAGTTCAACACCAAGTCTCTCAGGCATTTCGTCAACCACGTGGTGGATGCCGAGGTCTCCGACCGTTTGATCCCGACGCTCTCTGCCGCCGCCGCGAGCGGAGGTGTGCTCGATCTGCAGGACATCTTGCAGAGGTTCGCATTCGACAATGTCTGCAAAATTGCGTTTGGGTACGATCCGGAGTACCTGCTGCCGTCTCTCCCGGAAGCAGAGTTCCCAATCGCGTTTGAAGACGCCACGGTGATAAGCACCTACAGGTTCATTTCAATGTTCCCCTTGATCTGGAAGGTGAAGAAAGTTCTCAACATCGGATCGGAGAAGCGGCTGAAGGAGGCGGTCGGCTTGATTCGGGATTTCGCTAAGGGAGTCGTGATGGAAAAGAAAGCAGAGCTCGAGAAGAGATCTGCGCTCGATTCCGTCGATCTTCTCTCTCGATTCTTGAGCTCCGGCCATTCCGACGAGGAATTCGTGAGGGATATCGTGATCAGCTTCATCCTCGCCGGCAGGGACACCACCTCCGCCGCGTTAACCTGGTTCTTCTGGCTGATCTCCGAGCATCCTGAAGTGGAGGGGAAAATCTGCCAAGAGATCGGCGAGAAATCGGAAAATCTGATGTTCGAGGATGTGAAGAACATGGCGTACACTCACGCTGCGCTGTGCGAGAGCATGAGGCTTTACCCGCCGGTGCCGATGGACACCAAGATAGCGGAGGACGACGACGTTTTGCCGGACGGGACGAAGGTAAAGAAGGGTACCCGAATTACTTACCATCCGTACGCGATGGGCCGGCTGGAGCGGATTTGGGGCCCCGACTGGGCCGAGTTCAAGCCCGAGAGGTGGCTGAAGAAGAGTGAGGAGGAATCGGATGGCGAGAAATGGGTCTTTGTGGCGAGGGATCCGTATAGCTACCCGGTCTTCCAAGCGGGGCCCCGGGTTTGCTTGGGGAAGGAGATGGCGTTCCTGCAGATGAAGCGGGTGGTCGCCGGGATTTTGAGCAATTTCAAGGTGGTTCCCGCCGTCGAAGAAGGGTTCAAGCCGGTGTATGTTTCGTTTATGACGGCCAAGATGAAAGGTGGCTTCCCCGTGAAATTTGAATCAAGGGAGAAGTGAAAGGATTGATCATAATTTAGAAGGCTTATGTAATCAAATCTGGACTAAAACGACTATCAAGCTTACGTTGTAATTCACGAGAATGATCGTAAGAATTAGATAGTAAGTATGTATACGGTTGTTAATGATGATCATAGTCGATCTCATTGAATAAAAGAAAAAGTTCTAATGATATTTTTTTTTTTTTGGATAAGGGTGATATAGGTTCATTTTGTTGCTATTAAGGTACTACTTAAGGGATTCGAACCTAAGACCTCCAGGTTTTAGGTTAGTGGTGTTACCACTAAACCAAGCCCTTGTTCGTAAAAGTTCTAATGATATTAATATTGTTCTCGTTATGAAGTGGTATTTGTTAGGGACTTAGGAGTTAGGACTATCATATTAACAGTTACACCCAACTGATTGCAACTACATCAAATACCATGAATACTTATTTCTCTTAAAACCTAATGCATTGTTAAAGTGGATGTCTAAGGCCCAATAAGACATTAGCTTCAAAAAGGGTACAAAAAGGGATGTGTACCATGGTCCATGAAACCGTACCGGAGATCGTACCGGGAAAGTAAGTTTTAGGGTATTTTATGGTAAAATCGTGGTTTAATCATAGTTCAACCGTTATACCGTTAAATACCGCCTATCGGTTAGCCTCCGATACTGGTATTTCGTGGTTGAACCGTCGGTACGGTACGGTTTCATGAACACAGATGTGTACATGGCCGAAGCAAACAAAACATCTCAACAGTTTCTCTAATGAGCCACAATATGGCTATTAAATGTTGGACTGTGGGATTAAACTACCAGGCGATGAAGTGATAAGAAATGTAGTCATAGAAGAAAAAAATGTATTGAATTCTTTTGGTAATACTACTAACTTAGAATCTAGAAGTTTCATATTCGAATCCTTAAATAGTATCTAACAATAAAAAAATTGATATCACCCTTTAAAAAAAATATTTCCTATGCAATCTAGAGATCAAGCTCTAGCAATCTGACTCAATTATTAAAAGGATGACTTCATGATGATTTGCAAGTTTACATCCTCGATAGGGATAACAACAAAACTCGAATCCATGGGTACCCTAACCGACCCGATCCGGTTAACCCGGATAAAACCCGCATTGTATATCCCTATTCACCGGGTTTGGTTGGGTTTGGGTTTAGGGGTACCCGACCCATGAATACCCGCTCACACTTATTTCGTCACCCTACTCTCCCCAAACCCTATTCTCATTCTAATTTTCTCCAATCTAACTCTCACTACACTTATTCCGTGTGATTTTATTTAGTGTAATTGTGATATGTTTGAATTTTCTAGAATGGTGTTTTATGTATGGATAATTTGAATGGGGAAATTGATGTTTGAATTTTATTTTAATATGAACTTGTTATTGTAAATTTTTTACCACAAAAACCCATGGGTACCCATGAACCCGCGAATACCCAGTGGGTAGGGTTGGGTGAGTTTTCCAAACCCATTGGGTTTTACCCGGGGTTTTTTTTATGGATAAACCCATATTTTTGAGTTTGGGTTTGGCAAAACCCGACCCAACCCGATCCATTGCCATCCCTCGATCACAACTAGAGGTGGCAATATTAATCCAATTCACCTATCCAATCCATTTAAATTGATCCAAATCCAAATAGTCCAAATCCATTTAATCCATGGATTGATGAATTGGATTCATGGGTCCATCACTGATCCACCAATCCATTAACCTAACCTGTTTAGTGTAAAAATCAAAAGAAACCCTTAACCCTTCGGATGGACGACAAAGTCGGCAACTCTGGAAAAACAATCGCGACTTTGTCGCCTCCAAACAACGTCGATTGACTGCCGACTGCCGTTCACCCAAGGTCTTCATTGGTGGCGTCTTTGCCGTCTCCCTTTCCATCTGAAACCCACCTCGCCGCCTCCTCACCAACTTCAGTTATTGCCTCTCTCTCTCCACCATTCGCCTCCAAACAACGTCGATTGACTGCCGACTGCCGTTCACCCAAGGTCTTCATCGGCGGCGTCTTTGCCGTCTCCCTTTCCATCTAAAACCCACCTCGCCGCCTCCTCACCAACTTCAGTTATTGCCTCTCTCTCTCCACCATTTCCCGTCCAGCTTCGCCAATCACTCCATTTGCACAAACCCTCGAAGAAACTTTTGATTTGTTTAACGAGAACCGAAAAATCATTATCGCCTCCAAGGTTTTTGATGATCTCTCTCTTTTTCTTTCTTCCTTTACTCAATACCCAATTTCAGACTCTAGTACTAGGACTCGCCATGGCAGTTTCACTTCTTGTAGAGTAGTTATCTATGGGTTTTCCTATTTTCTGGGTTACAAGACTCTTGGAAGAAATACCCAGTTCCACACTTGTAGACTCGCCATGGAATTCTTGATTATGAGTTTTTTCCCTCTAATGGCGGTTAGTCTTGTCGTTGTTCAGGTCTCCTAGAGAAGGGACTTCACAGAAACCCAGCAAAGCTTTTGCTCGCTAGTTAATTCAACCCTTGAATTTGGTCTAATACAGGGTCAGGTGACTCAGGTCTTATCTTTTGAATTAAATTATCATTAGCCTAGCAGCACTCCCACGTTAATACATGGTCGAGTTTTTCATTGATTTGGTGAAGTGGGTTGATCTTTTTTGTTGATAAAAAGAGAATATATGTGATTTGTTTGTTGAATTTAGTTGGTATTACTGTTGGGTTTCTTGTTTCTGGTGAAGTGGGTTGATCTTGTGTGATTGCTTATGAATCTGATAATTGTTTTCACATCTATCTTGGTGTATTGTTATTTATTTAAGATGGCAACCATTAGTTTTTAATTTAGGGTCATGGGACTGGTAAGTATGGTTCCTTCTACAGTTTACTGATGGTTGTCTTTATTAAGATGTTATGCATTCCATTTGATAAGAAGGTGAAGTAAAACGAATCCCACTAGACACAAAGTTCTGACAGTAGAAACTTGTAAATCCCAGCCTCTAAACAACCCAAAACATGATCCGTTTACAAATCCCTAAAACATCAATTCTACTTCCTCTGCTTTTATTTTCCATGATCAATTATATGTTGTCTTGTGTTTTGATGTAATGGCTGTCCAATTCTAGTGGTAACTGATTTTGCTCTGCATTTTCTCTGCCAACAATTGGCTGATTCCAGTGGTAACTAATGGCTACTTTGATGTCAAGTCAACAAGAAATGTGAGGAGCAATGTTGATGGTGGTAGTTCCGTAGATGAGGACGATTTAGCAACGCTGTCGACGTCTAGGGGTTCAACAAGAAGTCAAAAAAGCGGCAAAGAACTTCTAAGGCATGGGAGACATTTAATTATATTCCTGGGAACCAATTTCCAGACAACAAACCTAGAGCACAATGCAAAAACTGTCCCATGCTTTATGTGGCAAATAAAGGTATTTCTAATCTCACTCGTCATAGCCTTAACTGTGTTGGACATGCAACTGAAGTGCCAGTGTTGGCTATTGGAAACTCAAAAGAAATAGATCATAATAAATTTGAGCTAATGGCTATGGCTATCATAAAGCATGGATATGAATTGCAATTTTTGAGCATGGTGGACTTCAAAATGTGATGGCATACTTGAATGATGGTTTTAAGTCATTTACTCGGAACACTGCTAAGTCTCATTGTTTGAAGTAGGGTTCAAGAAGGCGCGCCTAGGCGCACGCCTAGGCTCAATTAGGCGCTAGGCGGTGGAGGATCGCCTTAACTTGGCCAAAGGCGTTGTAAAAGGCGCTGATAGCGCTTAGTAGATAGGAATAGCGCTTAGTTTGCACCTAGTGGAGAGAAGGCGTGTCTGGGCGTTCCTGTGCGAGCTTAGGCGGTTAAACCCAATACTCTTCATTTTGTCCTAGAAAATCAGAAAATTGCCTCTTGCCCTAGAAAATCAGAAACACGGGAAGGGGATGACCATGCTATGTATGTATTCGTAGATGAGGATGAGGAATCATATTGTGCACCCTCGAGTACTGTTACAGATGCAATGGCGGGTGAACAGAGTGAGCTTCACAGGAGTGCACGAGTGAGAGAGCTCCATGATGAAGAATTAGAGTCTGAAGAGGAGGAAGAGGAGTAGGATGGTGAGGAGATTGCTTTTGAGGATGATGAAGATGAAGTGGTGGCTGGACGGACCTACTTGGATGATGATGAATGAACATTTTCTTATGAACTTATTGACTATTGTTTAGTATTTCGACATTTTATGAACTTGTGATTCTAGGAAGTGGTCACTATTTGCTTGTTATTTGTTATGTTAAGTGTTTACTGTTAAGAACTAGGCATTGCTAATTTTATATGCACTTGGATTATATGAATTATTCAAGAAAACAGGAAATATTTGAGAACTTTTTCCATTTATGCTCTGAACGCCTAGGCGCGCCTCGGCTACGCCTAATCAGGCAAGGCACAAGTCAGGAGCCGAGCGCCTGCCTTACGCCTAGCGCCTTTTAGAACCTTGGACTTTGAAGGTTTATAAAAGTGAAAAGGAAAAGTTGAAAACTATCTTGAGCGAGGTTCCTGGTAGTAGGTTGTGTTTGACTTGTAATTTGTGGACTTCTTGTGCTACAGAAGGATATCTTTGTCTCACGGTTCATTATGTGGATTCTGAATGGAGGTTAAATACTAAGATCTTGAACTTCTGTCACATTGCCCCTCCACATAGTGTAGAAGTTTTGTTTCATGTTGTGTATGATCTGTTGAAGGAGTGGCAAATTGAAAAGAAAGTTTTCTCTATAACATTGGATAATGATAGATGCAACGGTGTTATGCAAAGTTTGTTGATCAATCAATTGAAAGAAGATGATGGGTTGGTATGTGATGGGAACTATTTTCATGTTCGTTGTGGTGCCCATATTCTAAACTTGATTGTGCATGAAGGGTTAAAACATATTCGTGCTTCGATAGATGTAATTAGGGAGTGGGTGAAATATGTTAAGGGATCTAAATCTCGAATGATTGTCTTTGAAGATTGTGCCAAAAGAAGCAACTGTTTAAACT